AGAATGAAACATTCATCTTGTGACATTACAAGTTTACGCTCTAACAACTCTATTTTAAGCTTCCTATCCTCAAAACGTAACTTAAGACGACTCAATTCACTTTCCATCTTCTCACTCACCTCTATGGCAGACTCATAGGCTTTATAGATGATGTTCATATCTGATTGGATCTGGGTTAGATATGGTCCACAAAGAGATAAATCAAAATTATTATCAGTAATCATAGATTTTACCTGTTGAAAGATGCTTCGACATGGTGGGTCATTTGTTTCCATGTAGCAGAAATCTGGCTCAGGATCTTCATCATCTCCTTCTGATCCAGATGACCAGTAGACTTCATCGCATTCGATTGTCTGTCTAGCCATAAGACACATGTTTCTACCAGAACTCACATCATCTTCATCTCCAGATGACCAATATCCTTTCACATCTCTTGACAAAGTGATGAAAAATGCTTTTTCACTTGCAGCCATATCTTGGGCTCGTCGGGCATAGTAAGCATAGTCCTTGATCTTTGGTTTCCGTATGGCTTCAGCCATACAATCTTTGGCAAAGTGATTTCCATGGCCACACTTATGACAAACAACCTTTGGCTTGTCTGACTTCGGAATCTCATGGGATTTCGAGGAGTGACTTGGTGGCGAGATATTTGGCTTGTAGGCAGGTGGATTTTCTGAGGGTCTGAGAAATGGTTGGGGATTACTTTGATGAGGAGCTTGGAAACGGTTTTGGTATGGTTTGTGAGTAGGGTTCCATGGTCGCTTGTATTTCATGGATAATAAGGTAAACTCTTGTTGAAAGTGAAGTTCGGAGTCCATTGCTTCAGGATCGAGGTCTCCATCAGTTTGATAGTTGGAATTAGCAAGAACAGGTAAAGTTGGTGGAGAGGGTTGAACAGACGGAATAGGAGGGATAACAACTTTAAAAGGGTCCGAAATGGAGGGGTTTGAGACTTGAGGATCAAAGGAACTAACAAGAGTTAGAGGACCTCCTGAAAGTTCTCTCAATGTTTGAGCAACATTTTATTCATGTCCTTGAAGCTCATCAAACAGTTGGTAAAGCTTCAGCTTCTTCAGAGATCCATTACTTTGAAGACAATATTTCACATTTCCTCATCCTTTACCAAGACTATTGATAAACTTGAGATTGTATTCTAGCGGAGTTTGGACAATCCCATGAGCTGTCATGTTGTTGACGACAATTCGGTATCTGTTGGAAGCCGAGGCAACTGACTCACCTTGAGTTGTGGTGAAAGTATCGAACTCGTTCACAACCGAAGTCAACCGCTTATTCTTCATGTTTTCTGATCCCTCAAACAGGTCTTGGAGAGTGTCCCAAATCTCTTTAGCAGATTTCCACAACTTAATGTGCTCAAAGAGAGAATGAGGGACACCGAACACCATCTCGGAAAATGCAATTTGATCTGCATGCAGTTTCTCTATGTCGGCAGCAGTGAGAGGTGCCTGACGCTATTCATCTTGGTCTAAGAGAGTTGAGCAGCATCTCTTACGGTTTGTCTGACCGGAACATGTAGACCTTCTTTCCCGGATCTCCATATTTCTTTACCTTTTTCATTACCAAGTAAGAACCTTTCCATTCTGACTTTCCAGTGATCATACTCTTCAACGACTAGCAGTCGGGCACGAGAAGGGCAATCTACGCTATTTGCTATTTGCATTGAATACATTTGTTGAGAATTAGGAGCAGCCATTGAAGTTAAGATATTAGAGCAGAAGTGGTATATAAAAGAATTTTTATCCTGAACACAGAAATGACTGAAATACCAAGGTAATTTCAAATCAACTATAATCTGTTCTTATGGATTCAAATGACAACCACTCAAGATCTAATACCAATTGTGAGAACAAATACTCAATGAGCAAGGACAAGGTTTGAAAACTCAAACATTGAGTTAATCTTTAAGATCAACGCCTATTCTTAATGAAAGTTCCAGTCGAATATGGTAATACCAGTTACGACTTGAAGAAGATATTCAACAAAGTATTCAAAATACTAATTGAAGAAAACTTAGAGTATAATCAATGCAAAGGTGTTTAAGGAACAATGAGAATGTTGTGAAAGAACTTTGACTTGAAGGAAAAGTGAAAATGACGTGAAGAAAATATTTGTTATTCTTAGTGTAAAACTTGAATTATTCACATCTACATTAATGGTGAAAACTTTCACTACTTAAATAGTGAAGGAGGAACATAATACAAACCAATAAACATTCCTAGGACTGGATAATACTCAGTGTTTGACAAACTGATATCCAAAAGATACATAAAGAAATGTCCTATGAACTGTTACATCACAAATAAGACAAAATACATTAAATGCTAGAACAGACAGCTAATCTCGGAATTTCCCTTTATATCGGAATGATCTTCATATCGGAACATCTACTCATCTAGGACTCAGCTGACTTCGGAACTTGAGTGATTGCTAGAGGTTCACTTTTCATGATTCAACACTCTTCACAGATCATCATTTGAATTATCTTCTTTTGCTTTGTAGGCTGGGTGGAGCTGGATATCATGTTCTTGCATCACCTCCTTTGGCTCTTATTGGTTCTCTTCACGATGATTGACTTAAGAAAATCTCAATGGAGCGTGTTCTGTAAGACTACACAAGTTCATTGAATAAGAAATCAGTAGTGTCTTTTGTAACGTGCATATTTTTTTATGCATCAGTGTAGCAGCTTTCTATTCAATGGATCCAAAAAACATTTTTCTTTGATATACTGACCATTCAAACCCGCGCCAATGATGCGGATGATCTTCATCTATTTCATATAATACCTCCCTTATATCACAAAAATGTTGTGGATGATGCCCCGACCACTTCTTATATTGGTAAAAAAAAAGTTTTAGAATATTATTATATAGAATTCGAAGAACAAACAAAATATATTATAAAACTTGAAAAATCGATCATTTATAGTTATTAGGTTGTCTCCTAAGATTAATGCAAATGTTTTGTTTAAAAACTATTTATATCTTTGCAAAAGATTTACTTTGGATCGTTGGATCGTTGGTTATTTAAAATCGATCATTTATATTTATTAGGTTGTCTCCTAAGAACAACAAATGTTTTATATATAAACTTAGGTTCAAATGAGAACAATTATATAATTGAGAATGCGAGAACAAATCTGGACTACATATTTTTTTTTTGCCGCAAAATTCGTCCGCGTACCGGCTCGACGGAGGAACTTAATATTCATACGTGAATATAAACCACCACCACCGCAACTAACGCAGCCACCACTGGGCCACATATTTCTTTTGCCGCAAAACTCTCCCGCGTACGGGCACGAGTATATACATATTCTCAAATGATTATTCATATATGAATATTATATGTTCCGTCGTCCCGATACGCTGGAGCGTTTACGTGACAGATTTGTAATATGCGAGAATATACTTACCTTTATATTCACATATAAATATTAAGTTCCTCCGTCGCGCCGGTCACGGGAGGGTTTTGCGGCAAAAAAAAAATGTGGTCCAGATTTGTTCTCGCGTTCTCGATTTTATAATTGTTCTCATTTGAACATATATATATATATATATATATATATATATATATATACACACACACACACACACACATTGGTTCCGCCGGATATCTAGCGGGTAACGGTTTCGAAAAAATAAAATTGGAACCGCTATAGACGGTTCCAAACTTTAAGAACCAGAACAGAAACCGCTTGTTCTGGAACCGACAGTTATGAGACGTTTCCGGTTCCGAAAAACGACTGCCCAGTTTTATTGTTCAACCCTAATTATTTGGAGAATGCAACACAAGTAAGCTCAAAAGTAGCTTCAAGGAGACTATTGTTGCGATAATGGGTGCATGGGATATATTTCATATTTGTGAGTTGACTAATGTTGTTGAGACTCACTAAAGATGCCATTTTAAACCCAAAAGTAAGAATAATACATTTTAATTAACATTATTGACTTGTAAGGAGTTAGAGTCGCATACATATTAGTAACTACGTTAAAGCCCGTGGAACCCACGAGTGTTAATTTTAAATAGAATTAAAAAATTAATTATGTAATAAAATAATATATAATTAATTTAGAAAACTTATGAATTGTAATATTGTATTTTTTTAACTTTTTATTTTATTATTGTCAGTCGCAATCCTAGATAAAAGATGAGGGTTTATAACGTTAAGTATAATAAAAACCAAAAGAACCCCATATTTTTGGCGCTTAAAGCCCCAAACTGGTTGAGCCACTTCTTGGAGTGAAACAAACCCGAATCTTTTATGTGGCAACCCAACTAACACGTTATTTGTATACAAATCTACGCAAAATAAATAAAAATATAATCTAAAAATATTAAAAATTTTATTAATGATATTTGATAATAACTATACTTGTATAATATATAGCGTAGATGAGACAAATAAAAGTTATGTATATATCACTTAAAATTGAGGTCATTACATCATAAACTCATAATACAAACCATTAAACAATAAATCTAGAAAAACTTTTTTCCCATAAAAGTTAATTAAGAAAACATTTTTAAAATATATCTCGTTTTTTCTTAGTTTAATGGAATTGTGTATCTGGTCGAATATTATATATTTCGCTTTTAAATAATTGTAAGTGTTTTTTTATTAAAATTTATTTATTAGATGTAGCAGTTTATTCTCTACCATATGCATATATTAGAGAGACTTGTGCTTTCAAATCATAATTCACCGTTAGCATTTGATATAACAATTCGTTCTCTACCATGAGTTTTGCCATGCAATTTTATTAATAAAACCAAATAACTATAAATATAAGAAAATTAGTTGGAATCCGAAAATCGTTTAGACATATTCGATTTATGTATAACCACATTAACTAAAATATGAATCTAAAAGCCAGTATCTTCATCTCAAACATTTTCTTCCTATCACATGTCATAAAAACCGGACATTATGGCCCATTAATTATATATGGGCTTGATCCAATACACAATCGGAATTCGGAAATCTGGAAAAAGCTATTGGGCAAATTAGAGTAGTAGGGGCGCCGATACTGAGAGCAGCAGTAAAGACGAAGGGAAAAATCGGCAGCTGAACGGCGAGAGGAGAGTGGCGGAGGAGTAAGAGAGCAGGAAAATGGCGGCGGCGCAGTTAGCGGCGGATACTGGTTTGTTGAAGTTACCTCCAGTAACGTTTGTGACAAGAAACGCGAAGAAGCTTGAGGAAGTTAAAGTAATTTTAGGGCAATCCATTCCGTTTCAGTCGCTTAAGCTCGAGTGTATGTATATTATTCAATTACTCCTCCCTGATAATCTCCGAAACACTATTGAATTATTGTGGCAGTTTGATTGACCGTTTTGCTAATTAACAGTGTCGGAACTGCAAGGCGATCCTGAGGATATCGCGAAAGAGAAACTCGTTTGGCCGCTAACCAGGTACACAATCGTAATCTGTGATCTCCATTGATATTCTTCGAGAGTTGCATTTTGCTGATTCAGAATGTGTGTATGTGAGCAGGTGAAAGCTCGTTTGGCCGCTAACCATGTATAAATGTCATTCTTGCAATTAAGAAGCATGGCTGAGAATCTGTGGTATATATGATCATACCATTATTCTTTTATTCAACACAAAAATAATAAAAGTATAATTGACTGATAAATGGAAAAAAATAGCAATTTACTTCCATTGATATGTTTATTATTTACTTTCATTTCTGTTTTGTTATACATTCATTGGTTTGAAGCAATAACAATGTACTTCATTGTCTTTTTAGTTCCGAATCAAAAAAAAAAAAACACAGAAAATTAGGGTCTTTTTGCAATTTTCATTTTTAGGTTTTCGGATTCTTATTATTTGTTTTTGGGTTTCTATCAGTAATTCAATCTTGATTGCTATTTCCAGCAATTGACAACAAGATTTGAACACAACAAATGGTATAAATAACAATATACTTTCATTACAGGATGAATAAGAAATAACATCATTTTTTGTTCCGAAATAAAAAAAAAAGTATACATTGGTCAATAACTAATTTTCACAATATTTAAATTAAACATAAAAGAAATGGCTGGAAAAAAAGAATAACAAATATGTAAATGACTGATATCTTAATACATTAAGCTAGTCAATATATATATATGATTTAAATCACAAGATTGATAGTGTTTTTAATCTATAAAAGTTGAGAAACATAATTAATTTAATAGTAATGTAGAAAAGATATTGAATCATAGAAGCATAATTTATACAGATTCATGATATTTAATGCAGGAATTTGAATAAAATTGTGATATTGAGCCTTTTAAAAAAGTTTGACAAAGAAGGTAATACTGAATTACTGATTATGTAATGTCAACATGCATAAGAAGATGAAGATAAAAGAACAGCTTGAAAGATTCTTATTAGAAATCTTGGTGTATGAATTGTTGTAAACAAACAATTGAAAGAAGTTAATACCAAAAACAACATGATCTACAGGCTACAGAAACTGTTATTAGATGATAAAGAGTCAAACGAATGAACCACAAAAAACGAAGAAATTGTTTATCTTTTTGCAATTCTGAGTTTTAGGTTTTCATAATCTTTTTTATTGTTTCTGGATTTATTTGATTTATGATATTGTATTCATGTATACACAGGATGACTACAGCAAAAAGTTTTGATTATGAGGCAAAGACTGAAAAAAGATGTTCAGAAATTACCTTATGGCAGAAATACAGACAAACTTTGCAGAAGAAAATGGAATCAAAGTGAGAACTTCAGTGTCTGCTACTATATCGATCACAGAACAATGGTAAAATACAGGAATTGTTGTCGTATATAAAACAATGAAATTGGGTCTATATTGTTGAAATTCATTTAACAACATCGATTGGAAAACATAATCTTCAGGAAAACATAAGATAACATACTCGATTTAAATTCCAAATTTTCAGGATTTTAATAACGTAGTCAAAGGAAAACATAATCTTGATTTAATGACCCCGAGTTTTTGGTTTTTAAATGCAGAGAAAACAAGACCAGTTTTTAATTAGCTGGCAGTTTAATAGAGCCGAGGGGCATTTTCGGGATTTCACATAGTGAAATGAGCTGGAAAAAACGAATGGGAGATGCTTAGAGAGTGACACGTGGCGATTTAGTACTTATTTATTATAATATGGGATATGGGATATGACATAATTAGTTAGTCGGTTAAAATTTAAAACAGTAATCTATTTATTTTAATAAAAAAATATGTTTATTCTTTTTTTGTCATATATCATTCTATTAAACCTTTTAATTAATGTGACGTTACTTGTCAACCTATTGATTTTTCATTTCAAATTTCAAATTTCAAATTTTCACTCTAATTACATTAAATTAATAACATTAAAATAAAAATTAAAACAAAATTAATAGAGATTATAATGTGATATAATTTATTCATTTAAATCAATGATTAGGTAAAAATTTATCCCAGGCATGTCATGGATTTAATCCCAGGCAGGGAAGATATTTAATTATTTTCCGTTTAAAAAAAATAATAATTTATTTAAAATAATTAATTAATAATTTTAAAATTTTATTATGAAAATTTAATTAATTTATAATCATAATTTTACGAGTTATAAACTAATAGCAAGTTATATATGTTTGAATGAGTTCTGCTATAAGTATCCGCCTTAACAAATTTTACATCCCTAACATCAATCTATCAATCTTTTACTTTTGATTTAACATTATTTTTTTTTCTTTTTCTTTTTTTGTTTTTTTCCCTTTTTGTTTTTTTGTTGTTTTTTCTTTTATTTTATATTTTATTATTATTATTATTATTATTATTATTATTATAAATTTCGATAATTATATATAATTCGGACAACATTTTAAAATTCAGACAACATTATAAATTCGGACAACATTATAAAATTCGAACGACTATATAAAATAGAACAAAAGTAAAGTTTGCTTTCAAATCGCATAACGCATCACACAAATGTAATACTAAATCAATTGATATATCTGTGATAAATAAGAACAAACTTTGCTTTTGTTCCGTTTTATATAGTTGTTCGAATTTTATTATGTCGTCAGAATTTTAAATTTTCATCTGAATTTGAAAATGTTGTCCGAATTTTATACGGTTATTGAAATTTATAATAATAATAATAATAATAATAATAATAATAAGATTAAAATTAAAAATTAAAAAGAATTAAAAACAACAAAAAGAACAAAATAGGGAAAAAACAAAAAAAGAAACAATAAAAGACACAAAAGTCACAACGGTGGAATTGAAAAAGAATGGGATACTTAGGTTAGTGGATGTGGTGTCATATTTGTCATGGTCCACGTAGGCGTCACATCACACTTGTCACATTCTTAGCAATACTTGTCATTTGGTAGGCACGGTGTGCCACACTTTCTATGTTATTTTTTTAATATACAAAATAAATAATTTAAACATAACAATTTTTTTAAAAAACTTAAAATTCATTAAACTTAAAATAAAAATACAATACACCAAAAAAACATAGAAATTCAAATTACAAACCTAGAAATTTAAAAAAACATAGAAATGTAAAAAAAAACAATAAAATTAAAAAACACAAACTAAATCTTATATTTTTTTGCAAGCTCCTCTTTGGCTTTTAAAGTCATTTCTCGTTCGCGTCCTAATAGCTCGGTTGTGGGTCTCGTAAAAGTTGACATAGCACGAGTTTTTTCTTTCTCTTGTGCAAAGTTCAAGTAGCGCTCCAAGGAAGACTTCAACCCATCCATTTTCGTTGATAGTTTCTCCACGTCTTCAGAAGTAGTTGTCGTTGCTTTTCCCTTTCGCTTGGCCTTGTCTCTTCCCATGGGACGAGTGGCTACTGGAACCTCAAAAGGCTCCTCTTCATTGAGATCAATCCCGATATGTGCATCAGGCGATTGACTATGTGTCGTTTCAGACGTTTTGGTTCTTTTGAGGTTCCCGTAGCCACTCGTCCCATGGGAAGAGACAAGGCCAAGCGAAAGGGAAAAGCAACGACAACTACTTCTGAAGACGTGGATAAACTATCAACGAAAATGGATGGGTTGAAGTCTTCCTTGGAGCGCTACTTGAACTTTTCACAAGAGAAAGAAAAAACTCGTGTTATGTCAATTTTTACGAGACCCACAACCGAGCTATCAGGACGCGAACGAGAAATGACTTTAAAAGCCAAAGAGGAGCTTGCAAAAAAATATAAGATTTAGTTTGTGTTTTTTAATTTTATTGTTTTTTTTTTTTTTTTTACATTTCTATGTTTTTTTAAATTTCTAGGTTTGTAATTTGAATTTCTATGTTTTTTTGGTGTATTGTATTTTATTTTAAGTTTAATGAATTTTAAGTTTTTAAAAAAAATTGTTATGTTTAAATTATTTATTTTGTATATTAAAAAAATAACATAGAAAGTGTGGCACACCGTGCCTACCAAATGACAAGTATTGCTAAGAATGTGACAAGTGTGATGTGACGCCTACGTAGACCATGACAAATATGACACCACATCCACTAGCCTAAGTATCCCATTCTTTTTCAATTCCACCGTTGTGACTTTTGTGTCTTTTATTGTTTCTTTTTTTGTTTTTTCCCTATTTTGTTCTTTTTGTTGTTTTTAATTCTTTTTAATTTTTAATTTTAATCTTATTATTATTATTATAAATTTCAATAACCATATAAAATCCGGACAACATTTTCAAATTCGGATGAAAATTTAAAATTCTGACGACATAATAAAATTCGAACAACTATATAAAACGGAACAAAAACAAAGTTTGTTCTTATTTATCACAGATATATTAATTGATTTAGTATTACATTTGAATGATGCGTTATGCGAATTGAAAGCAAACTTTACTTTTGTTCTATTTTATATAGTCGTTCGAATTTTATAATGTCGTCCGAATTTATAATGTTGTCCGAATTATATATAATTATCGAAATTTATAATAATAATAATAATAATAATAATAATAATAATAATAATAATAAATAAAAGAAAAAAACAACAAAAAAACAAAAATGGAAAAAAACAAAAAAAGAAAAAGAAAAAGAAAAAAAAATAATGTTAAATCAAAAGTAAAAGATTGATTAGATTGATGTTAGGGAGGTAAAATTTGTTAAGGCGGATACTTATAGCAGAACTCATTCAAACATATATAACTTGCTATTAGTTTATAACTCGTAAAATTATGATTATAAATTAATTAAATTTTCATAATAAAATTTTAAAATTATTAATTAACTATTTTAAATAAATTATTATTTTTTTTTAAACGGAAAATAATTAAATATCTTCCCTGCCTGGGATTAAATCCATGACATGCCTGAGATATATTTTTACCTAATCATTGATTTAAATGAATAAATTATATCACATTATAATCTCTATTAATTTTATTTTAATGTTATTAATTTAATGTAATTAGAGTGAAAATTTGAAATTTGAAATGAAGAATCAATAGGTTGACAAGTAACGTGACATTAATTAAAAGGTTTAATAGAATGATATATGACAAAAAAAAATAAACATATTTTTGAAATTAAAATAAATAGATTATTGTTTTAAATTTTAACCGACTAACTAATTATGTCATATCCCATATTATAATAAATAAGTACTAAATCGCCACGTGTCACTCTCTAAGCATCCCCCATTCGTTTTTTCCAGCTCATTTCACTATGTGAAATCCCGAAAATGCCTCTCGGCTCTATTAAACTGCCAGCTAATTAAAAACTGGTCTTGTTTTCTCTGCATTTAAAAACCAAAAAATCGGGGTCATTAAATCAAGATTATGTTTTCCTTTGACTACGTTATTAAAATCCTGAAAATTTGGAATTTAAATCGAGTATGTTATCTTATGTTTTCCTGAAGATTATGTTTTCCAATCGATGTTGTTAAATGCATTTCAGCAATATATGACAATAAATCAGGTATGTTATCTTATCTTAAAAAAAATTAATAACGTTAGACCCAATTTCATTGTTTTATATACGACAACAATTCTTGTATTTTACCATTGTTCTGTGATCGATATAGTAGCAGACACTGAAGTTCTCACTTTGATTCCATTTTCTTCTGCGAAGTTTGTCTGTATTTCTGCCATAAAGTAATTTCTGAACATCTTTTTTCAGTATTTGCCTCATAATCAAAACTTTTTGCTGTAGTCATCCTGTGTATACATGAATACAATATCCTAAATCAAATAAATCCAGAAACAATAAAAAAGATTATGAAAACCTAAAACTCAGAATTGCAAAAAAATAAACAATTTCTTCGTTTTTTGTGGTTCATTCGTTTGACTCTTTATCGTCTAATAACAGTTTCTGTAGTCTGTAGATCATGTTGTTTTTGGTATTAACTTCTTTCAATTGTTTGTTTACAACAATTCATACACCAAGATTTCTAATAAGAATCTTTCAAGCTGTTCTTTTATCTTCATCTTCTTATGCATGTTGACATTACATAATCAGTAATTCAATATTACCTTCTTTGTCAAACTTTTTTAAAAGGCTCAATATCACAATTTTATTCAAATTCCTGCATTAAATATCATGAATCTGTATAAATTACGCTTCTATGATTCAATATCTTTTCTACATTACTATTAAATTAATTATGTTTCTCATCTTTTATAGATTAAAAACACTATCAATCTTGTGATTTAAATCAGATATATATTGACTAGCTTAATGTATTAAGATATCAGTCATTTACATATTTGTTATTCTTTTTTTCCAGCCATTTCTTTTATGTTTAATTTAAATATTGTGAAAATTAGTTATTGACCAAAAGGCTCCTCTTCATTGAGATCAATCCTGATATGTGCATCGGACGATTGACTATGTGTCGTTTCAGACGTTTTGGTTTCGGAAGAAAGTTGGACAATCCTTGTTGTTTCCAACCATAGGATCTTCAGAAAAATCAACCCAAGCACGCGCTAACGTCTTTTCTTCGGCGGATGTCCATTGCTTTGGAGGCGCCTTCCACTTTTTTTGTTGTGGTTGATTCTCTTCCGGCTCAGATTCTGTTTCCGGGACGACTTCGGGTTCCGCTTCAGTTTGGAATTCGGTTTGGTGGTTCATTAGGGACTCGGGAAGATCATCAAATGGATTGAACTCATGCATCATTTGGGATGAGAAGTTCATTTGTGGTTGATTTTGAAGCTGGAGTTATCTTTGAAATTGTGGTTGGTTTTGGAATTGA